GTAGTACCCAGGAGAACTCGCGAGACTGTTGAGGGTCAACCCGACCCAATCCTGACTGCATTGGCTGAGATGCAGGAGGCCACTAGATTGGCCAACGTGGCAATGACGGATGCCGCTTGTGAAGCGAACCGGAAGGCCACAGAGGATGCTCTTGAGGCGAAACGGATGGCGAACATGACCATGATGAGGGTCATGTTAGAGGAGATGAGGGCGGGTCCTGCTGTTGGTCAGTTCCCTCCGCCACCACCACCGCCGCCGCCTCCACCAAGTCTTCTGGGCAAGAGCCAGAGCCATGTTGAGGGCACTGGTCGACTCACTGGGGTGATGGAACCCTATGTGTAGCCTGCTGAAGACCGTGATGTGATTGATCGCCGGTTTAATGCTTTTCGCAAGCATAAGCCACCTTCCTTTGATAGGTCTTATGATCCTATTGTTGCGGAGAGATGGCTTCAGGTGCTTGATAAGATCTTTCGGGTCATGCAGTGTACTGATCCGCAGAAGCTGATGTTCGCCACGTACATGCTGGAGGGCGATGCCCATGAGTGGTGGATGAACACCTCTCACGCTTTCGAGATGCAGGGTCATGTTATGACATGGCCATTCTTCGAGGATTGCTTCCTGGGACGGTACTTCCCGTATGATGCGCAGGAGAGGAAGCAGGGGGAGTTCGACAGGTTGGTGTAGGGTTCGTTGTCTGTTGATGAGTACCTGCCCAAGTTCAATGAGCTAGTGAAGTTTTCACGCTTTCAGATAAAGATGCCTACTCTGACCTTTTTGGCTGCTAAGTTCTGTAGGGGACTTAGCGAGGAGATAGTTGTGCCTCTTGCTGGAGCGGCTTCTAGAGACTTCGAGACACTGATGCAGCAGTGTCGGGACATCGTGGATGTCTGTTTGACGAGTAAGGCCAAGCGGGCCAAGATTGCTGAGACGAAGGGAACGAGCAGTTCCATTTCCTGGAAGGACATGAAGTTTGCAGGAAAGGGAAAAGGAAAGCAGTTTGCGGCTAGGCAGGCGCCTGGTCAGTTCACGAGAACTTCTTCGCAGCAGGGGGTTTTGTTAGACCTCTTTCCACTCCTAGATGTTCGGGATGCGAAAAAAAGCATGCAGGATGTTGTGCTACCAGTCAGTTGATCTGTTTTCGATGTGGCCAGGAGGGCCACTACTCTCGAGGCTGTCCGTCGTCGACAGCGAGAACGGTAGCGATTCGGGCAATTCCGTTACAGATGATTCCTTTGACTGCTACTTCGGCACCTGCAGTGCCACCTGCTACTGGACGTGTGTATACGTTGGATCGCCAGAGTCGGACCGCGCTCCAGACCTTGTTTGAGGTACTGTTACCACTGGCGGTGTTGCTTTCGATGCTTTGTTCGATTCCGGGGCTACGCATTCCTTATTGCAACCCCGATTGCTGTGGGGCTTGAGTGGCCCATGTTTGTGCTTTCTCCACCATTGTGGTTGACAACCGCCACCGGAGAAAAGTGTGATACTACCACTGTACATCGAGATGTCGTGTTTCAGTGGGATAGCCGTGAGTTCTCGGTAGATTGAATGGGATTACCGATGACTAAGTTTGGAAATCATCCTTAGCGTGGATGGATTGTCCAATAGTTGTTTGATGACTGATTGTTTGATTGTTTGTGGTGCCTTGCGAGTGGTGATGTCTCTGTGTGATTCCACTGCCAGTTCCTCGCCTTTTATCTCATTGTTGCGGGCTAGGAGAGCCTTGTGAGCAGGGACATTGGTTATGTCATGATTGGAAGGTTTGGTGAGTGGGACACAGGAGGATCTCACTAGCATTCCTGTGGCGAAGGAGTTCCTCGAGGTACTTCCTGAGGAGATTCTTGAGTGTCCGCTATAGTGGGAGATAGTGTTCTCCATTGAATTGTTGCCTGGTGTGGGGTCTATTGCATTAGCTCCATACCGGATGTTCCGCCAGAATTGGCTGAGTTGAAGAAATTTTGTTGGGAGTCTTTCGGCGAAAGAATTCATTCGACCGAGCGTGTCTCCTTGGGAGCACTGGTCATTTTGTTGTAAGGAAAGATGCTTACGCCATTACATAAGCGTGATGGTGCTCTGTTTGAGGATGTGAAATTCTCTTTAGGGAAACTGAGTGTGGAACACTTGGAATTGGTGGCAAGGCCACGCGTAATCTTGTGTATGTGAGGCAGTGCATGTACAAGTAGTTGTGAGTTGAGTGGTCTCCATGACTCTAGGATTTTATGTGATTATTGATATGTGTCATGAGTAGTTGGCATGATAACACTATGGATAGTGTTAAGCATGAAATAAGTACGATGAATTGTGGTAATATATCAATGTTATTTCACCTTTGACTGACTCTCGATTTTGCAGACACCATGGAGATTGAGGTATACCGTTACTTAGAGTTTTTGGTTTATCATGTTACTGAAATTGAAAATTTTGCAGGTGTACGTGAACTGAGGTACGTTACTATGTAAATGAGTATGTTAACTAACATGTATTGGTTGAAATGAACATGATGATGATTTAGTATTGTGAAATTAATATGAATTTATTTGGAAGATATTGTTTATAAATTGTAAGTCTTGTTGAGGTTAGAGTCATGGAATAAGACCAAACTCACTCGTGTGTTACGTAGTTTTGAGTTGTGGGGTTAGGTCATTTTTTTGAGAAGGTGACTGGTGATCCCAGAAAATTGTTTGGCATTCGGATGTCAATAAGGAGTTTCAAGATTTGAAGGTGACTTCCTTGTTTGAGGATGCACTTCTCGAAATTGAGACTATGAGAGTCGAGAATGAGCTTTTGGAGAAGAACCAGGATGGTGTGTCCTGGAATGAGGAAGGACATTGTTTTGCGTGTCTTTTGTCGTGACACCTGAAGGTGAAGAATGAACACCAGAAGCCGTTTGTTAAGCTTCAACCTCTTAAGGTACTGCAGTGGAAGTGGGAAAGTATTTCCATGAACTTCATGATGGGTTGGCCTAAGACTCAGACTGGTCTGGACTCTTTTTGGGTCATTGTGGGCAGATTGTCAAGTCTGCCCATTTTCTTCCAGTAAAGGTAAGCTTCTCGTCAAAGCAGTTAGCCAAACTATCGTTCGCGAGATCGTGATGCTTCACGGGATGCCTGAGAGTATCATCAGTGATAGGGACCCGAAGTTCACATCTCGGTCCGGGGAGGCGCTGCAGAGAGCTTTTGGGACTCAGTTGCTACTGGGTACAACCTATCACCCTCAGACTGCTGAACAGACTGAGCGGACCATCCAGGTCTTGGAGGACATGTTGAGAGCTTGCACTTTGGTGCAGGGCTCAGTATGGGATAGGTACCTGCCATCGGTTGAGTTTGTGTGCAATTGTGTTTTCCTTGCTAGTCTGGGCATGGAACCCTACGAGGCACTGTTTGGTAGGAGGTGTAGAACTCTTACCTGTTGGTCTGAGGTTGGAGATAAAGAATTGTTTGGATTTGACCTTGTCCAGTTTACCACCTGCCGAGTCAGATGATCAGAGAAAAGAGGAAAGCTGAAGCAGGCGCAGTAGCGCCAGGAGAACTACGTTGATGTTAAGCATCGTCCACTAGAGTTCAGTAAGGGTGAGCACGTGTTGTGAAACTTTCACTGTCACCGGTGTTGTTCGGGCACTCGGAGTGAGGAAGCTGAGCCCACGATTCATTGGGCCATACCCGTTACGTGGTAGAGTAGGACCTGTTGCCTACCGGTTTGCCTTGCCTCCAAACTTGGCCAACACCCACAGCGTGTCTTACGTGTCTCAACTGCGCAAGTTTGTAGCGAATCCTTCGCACATGGTGCAACCAGATGTTGTGGAGGTTCGGGAAAACCTAAAGATCTCCCGTCGTACCACTTAAAATTCTCGATCGTGGCGAGAAGCAGCTGAGGAGTATGATCATTTCGATGGTCGAAATATGATGAACGGGAAGAATTCCTGAAGGGTAATTCAGGGAGCGAGAGGACGAGCTTCTCCGGCAGTATCCCGCGCTTCGAGACATGTATGTTTCTGATTTTGAGGACAAAATCCTAAAAAGGTGGGGTGAATGTAAGAACCCGCACCATTAATTAAGGAAATTAATTATATAAATATGAGAATTAGGAAATAATTCCATAATTGACCCTAATAATTATAGAAGGCTTAAATAAATATAGAAGGTGATTAAGAATGCTGAAAGTCGCTTTTCGGACGAAAAGTGCAGATACCGGTTCTGCTACCCGGTATAAATGCGTGCCGGTGAAGTACCCCGAAAAATTATAATAAGTGCATGAATATTCTTGGAATAATATGTAGGACTAGTAAAACAAGTTTCAGGTCAAAATAATAAGAACTGGTGCCAGAACTGATACTGGCTATGGAAAAGCGCGTACCGGAAAGGTGCTGCGAAAAATAAAATAAAAATATGACAAATCTTAGAAAAATGAGTAGGTTTTGATTCCAAAGTTTGGGATCAAATTGCTAAGCGCAACAATTGGCACTAATACAGTGTGATTAACCTTAAACTGCCTATAAATACTAAATGACACAGATTTCTAGGGCATTTTACAGCCTCCTACGTGCCTCTATTTTGAGTTTTGAACTCTCATGCTGGTCACCTTCTTCCCTTGACCTTCTTGCATGAGAACTCTCCCAAGCCACCTTTTTTACCTTGGATTCTTCTCTTTGAACCTTGTATACACTTGAGAGCTTGCATTGTGAGGGGGTGTGGGGGCGTATTCTGAGTTTCCAGCCACTGTTGGTGAGTGGTTTTGGAGTTGACTTGGTTGGTTGGGTTGTGGGAGCCTTTGTGTTGGCACTTTGAGCTTCAAGGAGCCATTTTCAGTGCAAAGGATCAACCTTTAATCTCATTTTCGTGCACCTTAAGAAGGCAGAACCTAGGAGCTTCATAGAGAGCTCCAAGAGCATCATCCATTCTATTTTGGAGCTTGGGGTAAGTGTTGAACCTTTGATCATGAGTTTAGTTTATTAAAGATGGTGTCTTGGCATGTTTGATGAGTTAAACAAGTAACCAACTGATATATGAACCTAGAACAGAGTAAAAATGCATGCTTTAACGTTTTAATGGGTTAAAAGATGAACCTTTGGAGTGATATCTTGCGAAATGCAGAAACTGCATTCGGTCGGAAAATATCCGGATATGATATCCGGATATGGATATCCGGATATGCCCTCGACAAATATCCTGATATTCTGGGTTTTCGTGAACTGTGAAGGTATTGTTCATACAGAACTGAGTTATGGGTTTGTGGACCCTAGTTTGGGGAAGTTGAACTTCTGTAATAATTAACTAAGTCAGAATCTAAGTGATTAAGGGCTTGTGGCTTTTGAGAAGCCTAAAGACATGAAACGCATAAGGAAAGGCGTTGTCTTTGTGTCTTATGATTTTAAGCATGATTATTGATATATTGTTAATCCGAAACAAATTGTGATTCTGCTGTGTTTGGGCTTTGAGCTTGTGTGGACTCTTGGTTTGGATAGCTAGCTTACAAGGTAAGCTTTCGTGTTCTCGGTTTAGCCATTGTTGGTTCCACCATACCCCATGGGGGAATGGTTTATATGCATGCTGTGTTTTCATGCTTTGATGATTGGAATGTTATTGAGCTGTTAAGTGTAAGGGCCTTATAATATGCATGTGTTGTTCCACTTTAACGGTATACCTAAGTATGTAGCGTCATACAAGATGGTGAGACTGGGGTGGATGCAAGTAGCGCCTTGCACATTGTGTGGGTAATAGACTTATTCCTGCATTTTCTCTAGCCAGTAGATTATATTGACACACATGACATGTTATCTCTGCATTACACCGACTTTGGAACTTATATATATTGTGTAAACTGCTTTAGAACTTATATTGCACATGTAAGTGAGCTTGGGGTGGAAAATCCTTGAGGACCCCTTGTCTTACTGAGATTTCTTGTTTAGAGATCTCACCCCACGTTTGGGGACGCTTATTTCAGGTTCAGGTAACTCGGGGGTTGAGACCTCGGGCGGTAAGAGGCCGGAGCTGAGTTAGATTATGTTGTTATCATGTTATTATGTTGTATGCTGGCATATTGTGGACTTGGTTGTTGTTTATGTTTTTTGTCATTTATGATTATTGAGTTGAGACAGTTGTTGGGCTTGTGCCTTATTTGGTGAACATGGGGTTTGTCCATGCCACTTTGATTTCCGTCTTGTTAAAGCTTATCTGTGTTGTATAAACTATCAGGTTGTCCGGTCTACGTGTTGTAGTTCCGTGACTAGAGAAATATTTATGAAATTAACTAATGAGGTATTTCAGTTAGTTGTCTTTTGCAATATTCGTACAGGCGATGTTTTGGAAATGAATTAAGTAATTCAACTTGGTAAGGATAATGACGTCACAATCGAAAAGAAAAAGAATATTCCGCATTTTTAATTAAGCGTGGCTTAATACAATGACATGATAACAAACCGAGTTAACACGGGGTGTTACATTAAAGGTTGTTAATCTAGGGTTAATAAGTATTAATGAACATCTGTTTTGGGTCAAAACTGAACCTTGGATCATTGGGAGCCATTTTCACTTCGGTTTATGCAGAAAAATTCTGCAAAAACTATTCTGCCCGCGTGGTAATCGATTACCTTTTGTTGGTAATCGGTTACCATGCGCAGTAAGCGATTACCATATTTTTGATAATCGGTTACCATGTTTTTGGTAATCGGTTACCTAGTTCAGTAATCGATTACCATGTGCTTGGTAATTGATTACCACCTGTGAAAATGACCAGAAACCAGTTTTATGTGTGGGAAAGTACCCTTTTGGGCATGATGACCTAGAAAGTTGGTGTTACTGTTGGGAAACAGTGATACATTTAATTGAGGGACTTAATGCTTGATAATTATGAACTAGAAAAGATGTAAACGAAAAAGGAAATGTATCATAATGAAATGAACCTTTAAAGTATGGTTATTGATGATATTTCTGATATAAACATGACCATGATGAGAGTCATGTTGGAGGAGATGAGGGCTGGTCCCGCTGTTGGCTAGTTCCATCCGCCACCAACTCCACCGCCACCACCTCCCCCTAGTCTGCAGGAGGAGAGCTAGAGTCATGTTGAGGGCACTGGTCATACTACTGGGGTGATAGAGCCCTATGCGGAGCCTGCTGATGATCGCGATACTATAAATCTCCGGCTAAATGCTTTCCGCAAGCATAAGCCACTTTATTTCGATGGGGCGCTTGATCCTATTGCTGCTGCGAGATGGCTGCAGGCATTGGAGAAGATCTTCCGGGTTATGCAGTGTACTAACCCGCAGAAGCTAATGTTCGCCACGTACATGCTTGAGGGAGATACACACGAGTGGTGGATGAATACCTCTCAGGCTTATGAGGTGCAGGGTAATGTTATGACATGGCCATTCTTCGAGGACTGCTTTTTGGGCAGATACTTCCCTTACGACGTGCAGGAGAGGAAGCAGGGGGAATATGATAGATTGGTTCAGGGCTCGATGTCTGTTGACGAGTACCTGGCCAAGTTTAATGAACTTGTGAAGTTCGCCCACTTTCGGATGGCGGTGCCCACTCCGACCTTTTTGGCTGCTAAGTTCCGCAGGGGACTTAGTGAGGTGATTGCAGAGCATATTGCTAGAGCTGCATCGAGAGACTTCGGTACACTGGTGCAGCAGTGTAAGGATATCGAGGATGTCTGTATCACGAGTAAGACCAAGAGGGCCAAGATTGCTGATGTGAAGGGAACTGGTAGTTCCACTTCCAGGAAGGATAGGAAGTTTGCTGGTCAGGGAAAGGGAAAGTAGCTGGCGGCTAGGCAAGCGCCAAATCAGTTCAAGAGGACTACGACTCAGGGAGTACAGCGAGACCTCCTCCTCCCAGATGCTCGGTATGTGGGAAGGTTCATTTGGGGCCGTGTGCTACCGGCTAGACTATATGCTTTCAGTGTGGCAAGGAGGGCCACTATGCTAGAGATTGTCCGTCGTCGACAGCGAGAGCTGCTGTAGTTCGTGCAGTTCCATTGCAGATGGTTCCCCTTCCACCTACAGCGGCACCTGTTGTTCCATCTGCCACAGGGCGAGTTTACATGTTGGATCAGCAGCAGTCGAACAGAGCTCCGAACCTTGTCAGAGGTACTGTGTCCATTGGTGGAATTACTGTGGATGTTTTGTTTGATTCCGAGGATACGCATTCTTTTATTGCCACCATGATTGCTGTGGGGCTTGAGTTGCCCATGTCTGTGTTTTCTCCACCGTTGCGGGTGACTACCGCCACCGGAGAAAAGTGTGATACCACCACTGTACATCGAGATGTCGTGTTTCAGTGGGCTGGCCGTGATTTTCGGTAGATCTAATTGGATTGCCGATGGCTAATCTGAAAATCAGCCTTGGTGTGGATGGATTGTCCAATAGTTGTGCGATGATTGATTGATTGATTGTTGTGCCTAGCAAGTGGTGATGTCTCCGTGTGATTCCACAACCAGTTCCTCGCCTTTTATTGCTACGGGCTAGGAGAACCTTGTGAGCAGGGACATTGGTTATGTCATGTTGGGAGGTTTGGTGAGTGGGACACAGAAGGATCTCACTGGCATTCCTGTGGTGAAGGAATTCCTCAAGGTGCTTCCTGAGGAGATTCCTGAGTGTCCGCCACAGTGGGAGATAGTGTTCCCCATTAAATTGTTGCCTGGTGTGGGGCCTTGTTATTATCTCCATACCGGATGTCGCCACCAGAGTTTGCTGAGTTGAAGTAGCGTTCTGAGGGTCTTTCGGCTAAAGACTTCATCCGACCGAGCGTGTCTCCATGGGAAGCACCAGTCATGTTGTTATTGAGGCAAGATGCCTTACGCCATTACTTAAGCGTGATGGTGCTCTGTTTGAGGATGTGAAATTCTCTTCAGGAAAACTCAGTGTGTAACACTTGGAATTTGTGGCAAGGCCACGCGTGATCTGGTATATGCGAGGCAGTTCATGTACAATTCGTTTGTGAGTTGAGTGGTCCCCATGACTCTAGGGTCTTATGTTGATTATTGATATGCGTCATAAGTAGTTGGCATGTTAACACCATGGATAGTGTTAAGCATAAAATAAGTACGATGAACTGTTGTAATATATCAATGTTATTTCACCTTTGACTGACTCTCGATTTTGCAGATACCATGGAGATTGAGGTATACCGTTACTTAGAGTTTTTGGGTTATTATGCTATTGAAATTGAAAATTTTGCAGGTGTACGTGAACTAAGGTACGTCACTATGTGAATTAGTATGTTAACTAACATGTATTGGTTGAAATGAACATGATCATGATTTCGTACTGTGAAATGAATATGAATTTATTTTGAGGATATTGATTATAATTTGTAAGTCTTGTCGAGGTTAGAGTCATGGAATGAGACCAAACTCACTCAAGATTTGAGTGGTTTAGAGTTGGTGGGGTCGGGTCACCTCTATTGAGAAAGTGACTGATTATCCCAGGGAATCGGATGACGTTTTGACGTCATTGTGAAACTTCGAGTTTTGACGGTGACCTCTTTATTTGGGGGTGCACTTCTCGAGGCAGAGATTGTGAGAGTTGAGAATGAGCTTTTGGAGAAGACCCAAAAGGTGTAAGTGCTAAGAGGGTGTCGAGATTGTGTGAACAACCAGGACAATATGTCTTGGAAGAAGGAAGAACTTTTTTCTTGTGCCTAAAGGTGAAGATTGAACACCAGAAGCCGTTTGGTAAGTTTCAACCACTTGAGGTACTGCAGTGGAAGTGGGAAGGTATTTCCATGAACTTCGTGGTGGGCTGGCCTAAGACTCAGGCTGGTATTGACTCTATTTGTGTCATTGTGGACAGATTGTCAAAGTCTCCCCACTTTCTTCCGGTACAGGTGAGTTTCTCTTCATAGCAGTTGGCCAAACCGGTCGTTCGCGAGATCGTGAGTCTTCACGGGGTGCCCGAGTGTATCATCAGTGATAGGGACCCGAAGTTCACATCTCGGTTTGGGAAGGCGCTACAGAGAGCTTTTGGAACTCAGTTGCTACTGAGTACAGCCTATCACCCTCAGACTATTGGACAGACTGAGCGGATCATCCAGACCTTGGAGGACATGTCGAGGGCTTGCACCTTGGAGCAGGGCCCAGCATGGGATAGGTACCTGGCATCGATTGAGTCTACTATGTTTTCCTTGCTAGCCTAGATAGGGAACCCTACGAGGCGCTGTTTGGTAGGAGGTGTAGAACTCCTACCTGTTGGTCTGAGGTTGGAGATAAAGAGTTGTTTGTCTTGGACCTTGTCCAATTTACCCCCAGCCGATTCAGATGATCAGAGGAAAGCTGAAGCAGGCACATATTTGCCAGGAGAACTACATTGATGTTAAGCATCGTCCACTGGATTTCAGTAAGGGTGAGAACGTGTTTGTGAGACTTTCACTGTCACCGGTGTTGTTCGGGCACTTGGAGTGAGGAAACTGAGCCCGTGATTCATTGGGCCATACCAGTTACGTGGTAAAGTACGACCTGTTGCCTACCAGTTTTCCTTGTCTCTGAACATGACCAACACCCACGACGTGTTTTACGTGTCTCAACTTCGCAAGTTTGTAGCGGATCCTTCGCACGTTGTACAACCAAATGTTGTGGAGATTCGGGAGAACTTGAAAACTCCCGTCGGACCACTTAAGATTCTCGATCGTGGCGAGAAGCAGCTCAAAAGTAAGATCATTCCGATGGTTAAAGTGCAATGGACCCGGAGAACTCCTGAGGAGTGCACTTGGGAGCAAGAGGAAAAGCTTCTTCGACAGTATCCAGACTTCCGAGACAGGTATGTTTCTGATTTTGAGGACAAAATCCTTAAAATTTTGGGGTGAATGTAAGAACCTGCACCGTTAATTAAGGAAGTTAATTAATTAATTATGAGAAATTAAGAAATAATTCTATAATTAACCCTAATAATTATTATGAGGCTTAAATAATTATAGTAAGTGAGTAATAATGCTGAAAGTCGTTTTTCTGACGAAAAGTGCAGATACCGGTTCTGCTACTCGGTATAAATGCGTACCTATGAAGTATCCTGGAAAATTACGAAAAGTGTGTATATGTTACTAGAATAATATATAGGACTTGTAAAACAAGTTTCAAGTTAAAATAGTGAGAACTGGTGCCAGAACTGATACTGGCTATGGAAAAGCGCGTACCGAAAAGGTGCTGCGAAAAATAAAATAAAAATATGAAAAATCTTAGAAAAATGGCTAGGTTCAGAATCTGAAGTTTAAGATTAAAATAATAAGCGTAGCTATTAACGCTAATACTGCGCGATTAGCTTAAGCGCGCCTATAAATAAAAGGGGCACACACTTCTAGGTCAGATTTTGAGGCCTTTCTACGTGAGTTTCTTATTTCCCTTGGTTGCCACCTTCTTCCTCATTGCAATACTTGATCTTTCCTCCATTTTTACACCAAAGTTTCCACCTTTTCTTCTTGAAAACCCTTCTCCATCATTGTGTGAGCTTGTAGCAAGCTTTGAGAAAATGGGGAGAGTGATCTTGGGAGCTCTTGATTCTGTTTTCTGAGTGTGAGTGGGCTTCCTCCTTGGTTGTCGGAGTGTGAGTGCATTTCACCTCCATTGGAGCTTAAAGAACCAAGCTTTGGAGGGAAAGAACTTACCTTTGAGTAGTGATTTTCGTGCATCACTAAGGCAGAGGCTTGGGGCACTTCTCTGGTCATCAAAAGCTCTTTTTTTTCTGAGTTCAAGGACCCCATAGGTATACCTTGGACACTTCCTTTGGAATTTCATGAAAATAGCTTGTTTATGTCATGAAAAGAGATAACTTTGATTAATCATGTTAAAGGTTGTTAATCTAGGGTTAATAAATATTAATGAACATCTGTTTTGGGTCAAAACCGAACCTTGGATCATTGGGAGCCATTTTCACTTCGGTTTATGCAGAAAAATTCTGCAGAAAACTGTTCTACCCGCGTGGTAACCGATTACCTTTTGTTGGTAATCGGTTACCATGTGCAGTAATCGATTACCATGTTTTTGGTAATCGGTTACCTAGTTCAGTAATCAATTACCATGTGCTTGGTAATCGGTTACCACCTGTGAAAATGACCAGAAACCAGTTTTATGCATAGGAAAGTACCCTTTTGGGCATGATGACCTAGGAAGTTGGTGTTACTGTTGGGAAACAGTGATACCTTTAATTGAGGGACTTAATGCTTGATAATTATGAACTAGAAAAGATGTAAACGAAAAAGGAAATGCATCATAATAAAATGAACCTTTAAAGTATAATTATTGATGATATTTCTGATATAAACAGATTGTGATTGTGCTGTTTGTGGGTATTGAGCTAGTGTGAGCTTGGCTTGGATAGTTAGCTTGCGAGGTAAGCTTTCGTGTCCTCGGTTTAGCCATTGTTGGTTCCACCATTTCCCATGGGGGGATGGTTGTATGCATGATGTGTTTTCATGTACCGTTTTATTGAAATGCTAATGAGCTGTTAAGCGCAATTGCTTATGATATGTATGTGGTGTTACGCCGACAGGAGGCCAATGGGTGGTCCTGTGGACGGGTACAACAATGGCTAGTACTGTGTGGGTTTAGATGGATTCCTACACTTCTCTGATCTGTAGAAATGTTATAACACACATGACATGATTATTTGTTGCATTGCACTATTTTGAGAACTTATATTGTGTTAACTGCTTTAGAACTTATATTGCACATGTAAGTGAGCTTGGGGTGGAAGATCCTTGAGGACCCCTTGTCTTACTGAGATTTCTTTTTAGAGATCTCACCCCACGTTTGGGGCACCATTTTCAGGTTCAGGTAATGCGGGGTTTGAGACCTCTAGCGGCAGGAGGCCGGAGCTTAGCTGATATTACTGCTTTTATGATGATTATGCGTGGATGATGGATATACCTGTTGTTATTTTGCTGTTAGCTTTATGACTATGTTGTTGTTGAGACTCTGTTGGCTATGTTGTTTTATTTGGTGAGCATGGGGATTGTCCATGCCACACTGACTTGACTATGTCTTAGTTTGGATTCGAGTTGTACAATTGTATTAGGATTGTGTCCGGTCTACGTGTTGTAGTTCCGTGACTTAGATACTCACATTTATTTATATTATGAGGTATTTCAGTTAGATGTCTTTTGCAATTACATACAGGCGATGTTTTTATAAAATTGATTAAGTAATCAACTTGGCTAAGTTTAATGACGTCATAATTGAAAAGAAAAAGATATTCCTCATATTTTATTAAGCGTGGCTTAATACGATGACATGTCAACAAATCGGGTATACAAGGGGTGTTACAATTGCTAGTATCTGATCATAAGCGGTACTTATGGTGGGCCATTACTTCTATCATTTGCTTCCATACAGTTGAGTATTGTCATACAGATTATTCTCTACAGCCGATAATATGCTAGCATGTCGATCTGAAATTAGACAAATATTTTGCGCTTGTGTAACGTGCAGACGAAGATTGGCAAGCAAGTATGACCAAGCTTCCAATGTCTCACCCTCAACAACAGCAAATGCAAGTGGCAGACATTCATTATTTCCATCCTGAGCTGTGGCAATCAACAACTTTCCCTTGTATTTTCCGTATAAATGAGTGCCATCAATTTGTATCATTGGTTTGCAAAAATTAAATGCCTCACAACATTGTCTGAAAGTCCAAAAAATGCGAAGAAATACGTGTTTCCCAGGACCAGTTGCCCCCCACAAAACAATCCTTTGTTTGAATATTATAAAAGGAACCTGTTGAAAAACGAAGCATATATTCACACCACCGAGGTAAATATGCATATGATTTCTCCCAATCACCATACACCATTGTCATTGCTTTCTGCTTCGCATACCATGCCTTTCTATATGAAACTTTGAAACCATAAGAATGAGTTATCCTCTCCTGGACTAGCGCAATTGACACTGATGGTTCCTTTTTTATCATCTCTGACAAACAAATTGTAATATATACATTAACAGAACTACAGGTATATCAACCAATTTTTAAATATAGCATAATACTTTGAAATAACGTACCTACTACAAGTGATGCAATCACGTCAGAATCAAGTTGTCTATGATCTTGAGAAATATGGTCATTCAAGCAATTGTGATCCCCACCCATTTCGTTACCTTCCAATTTTCACCATACGTTGGTTTAATTACCCTGATCCTCCATGGGCAACCTTGCTCATGCGTGCAACATTTCATGCTTAACTTTGTAGGCATGCTTTCCACAACAATTGCTTCTTGACGCTCCT